TTTGAATTTAGAGAGTTTCTATTGGTTTATATATTATGCAAAGTGAGTTATCCAGGAGGAATTTGACTGATATCCCATCAGTGATGGATAGGATGCCTAAGCCATACATTCTTGGCTTTTCTTTTTGAATCATGATAGTAACCTGAAAAACATGGCCTTCATGAATAGCAGCAATACAAAAATTAAACTTCCAGTAAAATATCAGGACTCTACCTGTTTTCTTTGATTTGGAGAAATAATTTTGGACCAGTTATTTTTAATAACAAAATCAAAACATAAATATAACTAAGTCCAAAGTATTCACAAATCAAATAAAATAGAAAAAAAATGTCAGTTTTGCAGGTGGTACTTGGATTGGTTATCGAATGTAGATGATACTTGCTCTGGTCCAAATGAGATTTAGCTTCCCAAAAACACGATTTTAAGTATTTTTCTAAAACTTAAATCTCCTTAAAAAATAAGATAGTTTCTGAAAAGAGCTTTTATGTAGCCATGAATAAAACAGTATCAAGAGAAAAAAATTAGTGACTTCAAGGCTAATTGCTATGAAATAGGAAACACATTCCTAATAGAAAAAAGTATAATAGTATCAATAAATTGACCAAAACTGCCTTGAAACATGTATATATTGATTTAAAAGTCTATACTAACTAATGCTTTTACACAAAACTGTGTTCTAAAAGGAACCAAATTTAAAGTTAATATCTAATTTTAAAATAATCAATTTAAATGTATAACAATAAAATAAACTATGCTATATTCATCTTCTGGAATATTTTACAGCCATTAAAAAATTCCTGAAGTAATTTTAATAACATAGGAAAATATTAAATGAAAAAGTAGGATGAAACTACATATATCTTATGATCTAAACTATTTTACTGTGTGTGTGATTATGGATCTGAAAAAAAATACACTAAAATGTTAACAGAAGTTATTCTGGGTGATGGAATTGTGGGGTTTCTCTTGCATTTTTATTCTATCAAAAATTTCCAAATTTGTTGCAATGAATAAGTAAATTTAGTTTTTGCACATATTTGTCAGAGCTTTTTTATTCCTCTCAGAAAGAATAAAAAGTGCAGTCTAGATTTTTGTTTGTTTGTTTGCCTTCTAAATTTTCCTTCTAAAAATATAGAAATAAACCACAGCAATCAGATCATCCTAGCACAAGGCTATTCTCTGAAGGGTCATAAAATAGCTGTGGAAGTAGCATTCACAGTCTCAGATGCTTGTACATATAGTTAGTTACACGGAAATATTTTCTTTTTTGGTGGGGGGATTGGAATTAGCCATTTGTTTTCTTAAAATTAATATTTTTATTGAATCATAACTGATTATACACATTTTGGGGGTTCAACATTGACATATGCTGATCAAATCAATATTATTAGCATATACATTATTACAAATTGTCCTTATTCTTTATGTCCCTTGTCCAATCTTTCCCCATCCTCCTCTCACTCCCCCCTCCCACTACTGATAACCCTAGATTTCTTCTCTCCTTCTGAAAGAGTAACAGCTACTCTATTGATATGTTGCCTAGATGACCTGTCCAGTGCTGAGAGAGGTGGGTTGAGGTCACCCACTATTATTGTAGAGTAGATGCCTCTTTTATCACTCTGGAAAGGGCTTTGTGGAGTGAGACATCCTCTTCCTTTCTTTGGACTCTGCTGGTGACTCTCCTTGTGTCAATGCACTCAAGTGGCTGGCAGGTCATCTGCATGGTGGTTGCAGCCACGGCTATTGTGGTGGCTGTGGTCACATGGAAGTGGTGTTTTTGGCATGCTCCTTGTCTGGTTGTGGGAGGAGGGGTGGGTCCATGGCTCCAACTGTTTTTACATTCTAAGATGTTGTTGCAGAGCAGTTGGGTGGAAGGGGAGATGGGAAGGAAGAAGGAAATAGGATGGGAGAAGGAGGAAGAAGGGGAGGCATGACTGAGGCCTGTGGAAGCCCCCTTATTCCTGCAGGGGAGATTAGGGGTCTTCCAGTGGTGGCTTGGTCACTGCTGGGCTGAATGCAGATGTCAAGGGGGTGTGGCAAAAGCCCTCAACCCCCTATTGATCCAGCTCAGAAGCCCAGGAGGCTTCCTGTGGTGGCTCGGTGATTGTCACTGTGCTGGTCCTGGGTGTCAGGTGGCATGGTTGTGGCCCTCGGCCCTCTCCCCTCCCTGGATTGGGGGCCCCAGGAGCTTCCAGTCCTTCTAGGTTTTATAGGTGATCATTGGTAAAGTGAGACCTTTACTAGTTAATATTAAACTTTGTCTCTGGTCTGTGGGTATTTTGTTTTTCTTTCAGTTCTGTGTGGGATCATTTGCTGTTCTCACCACTTAAACTCCTCACTGGAACTAATTTGTTGTCCTTTGCTTACTTCTGAAATGTGGGAATTTCCTATGGGTACCAGCACTTGAACCCTGTGTTTGAGCTAAATTGCTGCTTTGCTGCTGATTCCCTGGGGAAGGCTTGTTGTGCAGCTCAAGTTTAATGGTTGACTTTGTTGGTACTTCCCGTCTTGTGAGATCTGGTACACCTGGGCTGTGTGGAAACTCTGGCCTGGATCTCAGTCTTTTCAGCAAACTGCTCCCCTGCAGTTCTATATTCCTGACCAGTCTACACAGAGTGGGCCTTTGCTGATTGGCGGGCAGATCAGCTGTCCATGCTATGTCCCAATGTTCTCCCTGTGGGCCCTTCTCCCCCATCACCCGCACTCTAAATGCTGCCCATAGGATGGACCATGCATTGGTCCCTGTGATGACTCACCGGCCTCTGAGTATTTTTTTTTTTCAGTTGTTGTGGCTCCTTGGTCCTATGTGGGTTCATGGGAACCCTGTTAGTGGTCTTGCTGACCTGAGGGCCACCAATGCCCTCTTCTCATCTGCTGACTCCAAGCAACTTCATCTGAATGGCACAGGAGTGGCTTTTGCCAGCTCCTGCTCCGTGCACTCACCAGCTGCAGCCTTCAAGTGGCCAGGATTCAAAATGATGGGAGCAATCCTTTCTTTCTCTCATCGTGGCTTCTCCTGCCTTCATGCACTCCATAGGTCTCTCCTCCTCTTCCCCTGAGCTCTAGTGGCCCCAGCGTGGCTGTAGCTGCTTTTTAATAGTTGTAAATTGGTGATTTCTGGGAGAGAGAGATGCCGAAGACCATCTATTCCACCATCTTGATCAGAAGCCAGCCATCTTTATCCTAATCTGGAAATATTTTCAACAGCACTATGGAAACTAAAAAGATGCTACAAAAATCCTATTTATTAATGTGTGGAAACATTAAAACTTGGCTCATCATGTCTGAATGTTTACAACATTAATATTTGTTCTAAAAGTACTTTGCCTTTAGGACATGACTGTTTTGGGGAACAGTTTGTCATCTCTTGTCATCCTTATAAATTAGGTCAAGAGCAAGGGGATTTATGAACCATCACATTGAAAATTGTCAACACAATAAATTAATTCTCTAATCTTATTACCACACAGAGTGAAAATGACCCAAGTAGAAATAAACAGTAGCTTTATTCACTCATCTGCATTATAATCTAATGAGATAATAAACTCAGCCTATCAACAGATAATTCATTTCTTATGCCATAGAAACATTTTTCATGCAGATAATAGAAGTTTTTGTTTCATAATGCGACTGCTGTAAGTTAAATTGATTCAATTTAATTAACAAGCATTTATTCAGTGCCTACCTGTGCACAGCACTATACTAGGCATACAAAAGAGTTAAAAGATATGATCCCTGCTCATAAGGAGCTTACAATCTGGATAGAAAAGATAAGCCATGCATACAAGAAACAATAAAGAACCATTGCAAATTATATGAAAATCAATATAAATAATAGACTCTGGGGATATTCATTGGGAATGGAAGCTAATTTGAAAAACATTGACCAGAGGAAGTAAGTCTAAAATTGGTTGGCGAACAACACAATCTTTCTATGGCCAGTAGAAGATTGAAAAGAAAGAGAAACTCTGAGACAGTGCAATAAAAATCAGCAAGTCCACTGCAGGAAATTGCAGGCAAATTGGTTCAGCTCTGGAAAGGGATGCTGTGAGTTAGGAGATGAAATTGAAGTCACACAGCAAGAGGGCATTAGTGTTACTATTCAAAGTCAATTCAAATTTTAAATAAGCAATAATGCTTAAACACATCTATAAATGAAAACCCCCATAAAAGTGTGTTTTCATAACCTTAACGAAAAAATAAAGACAACCTATAGAATACTAGAATCTAAACTCAGGAGTTGTGATCATTATAGGTGAAATGAACAGACTGTGATGGAACACCAGTCCCTTATGGTGTCTTTTTTTTTTTTTTAATTCATAAAGAGTTCGGTTGTCTAAGACCCATGTACTTCCACTAGATCAGAGACTTTCAACCCAATGCTAATCAGACCCCTAATTCACTTAGGATTTTTCTTCTAAAACACCTATCCTTTTCATACTGAATAAAAAGGTCTTGTGTGTATTTCGTGGAGGCTGTGGGTAGGGAAATAGGTAGAAAAAAAGAAAACAAGGTGTTGATTTCAAAAAGTGAGTTAGTGAATGGTTACAATGAGTACTTAGTGCAGATAATTTTGAATTCAGAGAAAAAATAGGTGAAGTATTTCTGCTCCCAGTTCAAGAACACTAAGGCAGAGGAAACGTACAAAATGAGAGTCCATATGAACAATTTTATTTTTAACCCGCCAACTAAACCAGTTATCTTCATTGCTGGATCACACTCAACTTTTATACTTAATTTATTAGGAAAAATGTCAGGGAAATGGGGCAGGGGAGAAAGTGGTAGAGTAGGAACAAATCCCTACATTGGAATAAGGTGGAGATCGTTCTTGCCCAAGTAGGACTGATGATGCCCAGGATTGAGCACCATGACCTTGATGATTTATCGGGGTGAACAAGGAAGGAGCAACCACGCATGCTCATTCTCTGGGCCTTCGCATAAAGCATCAATTTTAAACAGCAAGACAGGAGTACTCCTGGGTCCCAGGATATCTGTGGAAGCTACTTGCCACCAGCAGCTGCAGCTGTTTCAAAAGAGAAAAAAAAAGAGAGAGAGAGAGAAAAAAAATGAGGAAGAAGCAAATGAAAATTTAGCTTTCAGGGTGCTCAGTGGTGGCCTGAAATCATATCTTCCAAATGTGCTCCATGTTGCCATAATATTTAGCATTGCTACACTCAAAATATTTCTGTATCTCTTATTTTACAAAGTCCTCACCAATTCTAAAGAAAGGAAAATGGAAGTTCTGCTTTCTTTTGTAACACTTATTCATGACCACTTATGTAGTTAATGTAGAAATTCATTCCTTTCAAGTTTTTCCAATAAGACAATTCCTCACTGTGCAGTAGATATTCAGCATGTACTTACTGAGTGGCTGTACACATATGGGAAAATATCTGATAAATAGCATACTACAGCATTGTATCATTATTGAGAACAATAAAGATAACAATAAGCCTTCACTGGAATTCAGATCTTAGAACTCAGAATTTTCTACTTCCCATTTTAAGCACTCATTTGATAATGTTAAATGATACAAAAGCAATGCCAGTATGTGTGATGATGGAGTTGGGATGTGTTGTCCCCATCAAAACTCATGCGGAAGTCTGATCCCCAATGTGGCAGTGTTGGAAACTGATTGAGTCATGGGGGCGGATCCCTCATGAATGGATTAGTGCTCTCCCTGGGGGAGGGGGGCTAGTGAGTGAGTTCTCGCTCTATTAGCTCCCCTGAGAGCTGGTTGTTTCTAGGACCCTGGCACATCCTCTCTCTCTCTCTCTTGCTTCCTCTCACCATGTGATCTCCTTGTACCCGCTGGCTCCCTGCCACTTTCTACCATGAGTAGAAGCAGCCTGAGGCCCATGCCAGATGCAGCTGTCCCAGAATCGTAAGCCAAATAAACCTCTGTTCTTTAAAAATTATCCAGTCTCAGGTATTTCTGTTATAGCAACACATTGCCAGTATGTGTCATGTACATGCTTCCACCCCCTCATCGTCCACAACTAAATCATGCTAATTGATTCCCACTAGGGCGGACTCCATCCCAGACTCCATCTCAACACAATAGCCCAGGTAAGCACTATGGAATGAACAGAGCTAAGGTAGAGATAAAACCATTGCCCCTCCTGTGTAGGCAAGATGGAGTTTGTCTAGGCTGTGGCAGTAAATGCTTTGGACTGAACTTTTGCCTCCTCCCAAACATGATAGTCAAGATATTTGGTGGGCGGTGGGGGGTA